CAGTCCTCTGTCCTCTGAGTATTGAAGAGTTCATCTCCAAATATCCTTTGAGTTGAACTTTGCTTATTTTTTTTCTTAAATAAATGTTATGTTTATGTAGATAAAATTTGAAAACTTGTATCGTTTCTGAAATTTGAGCCACAGTTGAAATGCCTTTTCCCACTCCAATTTATAAATGAATATTCACATGTTCAAATATTTTTATGGCTTCTTTTTTTTTCTTACTTTTATTGGGGGCTGTTACATCTCTTATTGCAATCCATCCAGTGTGTCAAACATATTTGCACATATGCTGCCACCATCATTTTCAAAGCATTCTCTTCCCCCTCGACTCCCTGATGTCAGCTCCCCATTTCTTCCCCCTCATCCCCCACTCGCCCTCCCTCACGAACCTTTGATAAGTTATAGATTATTATTTCCATATCTTACAGCGTCCTCTGTCGCCCCTCACTGACTTTCCATTATTTGTCCCCCTGGGAGAGGGTTCTAGGTTGATCCTTGTGATTGATTCCCCCTTTTCCCCCGCACCCTCCCCTATTCCTCCTGGTATCTCTACTCTCCTTGTTGGCCCTGAGGAGTTTATCTGTCCTGGATTCCCTGTGTTGCAGGCTCTTATCTGTAGCAGTGTGCATGCTCTGGTCTAATCTGATTTATAAGGTAGAATTGAGGTCATAATAGTGGGGGGAAGGAAGCACCAAAGAACTAGAGGAAAGTTGTGTGTCTCATCGGTGCTACACTGCACCCTGACTGACTCACCTCTTCCCTGTGACCCCTCTGTGAGGGGATGTCCAATTGTCTACAGATGGGCATTGGGTCTCCATTCCATCCCTCCCCCCGCATTCATCTTGGGTATGATTTTGTTCTGGGTCTTAGAAGCCTGATACCTGATCCTATTGACATCTCATGATCACACAGGTTGGTGTGCTTCTTCCGTGTGGACTTTGTTGCTGCTGAGCTAGATGGCCACTTGTTTATCACTAAGCCTTTAAGACCCCAGACACTATATCTCTTGATAGCAGGGCACCATCAGCTTTCTTTACCACATTGGCTTATGCACCCATTTTGTCTTCAGTGATTGTGTTGGGAAGGTGAGCATCACTGAATGCCAGATTGTTAAAACAAAGTATTCTTGTGTTGAGGGAGTACTTGAGTCGAGGCCCGATGTCCATCTGCAACCTTAATTCTTAACATATAGATATGAGTACATAGATCTATTCCCCTCTTGATATATATATATATATATATTTTTACATATATATATGCCTGTCTTTAGACCTCTGTAAATGTCCTTCATCTCCTGGTTCTTTCCTCTTATTCCTTTTTACTTTCCTCTTGTCCCACCATCATGTTCAGTTTTCATTCGGGTTTAGTAACTCCTTGCTGTTACATTTCCCTTGATCAAGCCCCACTAGGCATCCTACGCTTTTCTTTCCATTGATTTTAGTTCACTTGTTTCCTTGTCCCTGGGTTGGTCCCCCCACCCCTTCCTTTCTCCCATCTCCCCTTCTCCCGTATTCCCTGGTTTCATTTTTAAAAAAACATTAAATCTTTGATCTCTTTCATTTGTATATTGTTTGAGGTATGGAATCAACTTTTTTTCCCTGATGGCTCTGTCCAATATTCTCCAGCCTTTTTTTCTTTCTTGTTTTATTAATAGATTTTCTATGGCTTCACTATCCTTGCATTTTAGGAGAAATACTTATTTTAAATACTGCACACACACATATATAAAACTTTAATATATATGCATGTTTAGATGTAAGTAAAAATATGTTACTGGGATTCCAGTTCACAGACACACACACACACACACACACACACACACACACACACACGGTGCCCATGTCATGGGACGATAGGAGGAGCAAATGAATTTATACTGGAAAACTGTTTTTGAACTATCAGGCACACATGGGCTTGTCAGTTCTTGTCATTGGCTATTGTTTTGATTTTCATCATTAGTTTCAAGAACAGACAGGAACTTCTCCACACTTGACCCCTCAACCGAGCTCTTCCCTGGGTCATCACCTGCACACTGGCTGCCTTCTCTGTCTCCACAGTCCAATGTCACATGACCCCGGAATGAGTCCGGCGCCTTGAACATGGCCACAGACTTCTGGAAGCTGGATCCAACCCTCACATAACTGGATTGAACATAAAAGGCTGGAGATTGTTGTAATTGAGTATGAAATGATATAACGTCTGTATTCTCTCCACCAAACAGTTAAAAAAAAAAGCTGGGCTGGATTAATAAAAGCTGTATTTAGGGTCTTCTAAAAATACATATAATGCTCCCTCTTAAGGCTCTCTGTATCCATTGAATGATAGAGAATGGGTTATTTATTCATTTATTAGTGAGTTAAATGTCTGTCAACTATAAATTCTGAATGAAAATAGTATTAAATTCATAGTCACCACCAATAAACATAATAAACATAGTTTTTCCAAGAAGAGGCACAATACAGCCTGCTTTTGTGCTTATGTTAAGGTTTACATGCAAACGGTGACCCATCTCTAATCGGGTCCACCCACATGCAGACCGGCCAATTGGACTCTTTAGAATCGTACTGTCCAACACGCACACATGTGGCTGTTTAAATTCAATTAAGATGAACAATAATTAAACGGTTCCTTCTTCAGCGTCGGCACATTGTACGGGCTCAGCAGCCCCATGTGACAACTCTACATTATGGCACATTTCCCCCACGTGGGAACGTTCTCGTGGGCCGTGCTTTCGAGAGGGAGTTGCAGGAACAATGACAGTTGCAGGCATTCTCGTAAGGTTGCTTCAGGGAACAGATCTCCCTGCCCTTGCTAGTCTGGCTGCATACCAGTTGCGGCTGGCATGATCCAAAATAGACTTTGTTGTTTTTAACAGGTTAAGCAAAACCTTCGGCATTTTATTTATCCTGGGAATTTGTTTGGCAAAGCAGTCTTCTTACAACCTGGAGATGCCTGAATTCAGGAACTCTGAGTTGGTGCAGTCCAAGTCGTTGTGAAAAGATATTTTTTCTTTTCACCCATCCCTGGCTGGAGGTCACCCCCACTCCACCCTCTGCCATGTATACACTTGTTACTGTAAATAATCACTCACTTCCTGGTCACTATCAGTCCTAAAACATTTGTCAACTTTGGCCACTTTCCTAAAATACATTACTGGGCATTTTCATTGCCTTTGCTTTATGAGTGACATCTTTAGTAAAAGTGCCCCCTTCCCATCAGGCCTGGTAAAAATAGATAACTTATCACGATGTTTCCTGTTGTGTATGAACCAAGTATCAGATCTGCAATTACAGAATGTGTCATAGTTGGAAGAATGCGCCCTTGATATGCTCATAGCCGCTTACCCAATGTGGTGAAATACGCATGAATCAGAATGGCGGCAAGGAGACCTATTTATAAAGGGCCAGATTAGCAAAGGGAGCACACGCCACCAGGAGAGGATGAGACCTCTGAGACCTCTCGTGTGCTGCTGCCACCTCTGGTGGTCTAAGAAAGGTTGGCACAGTGCCCCAGGGAGTCAACTATGATGAGAAAGGAGCCCCATGTCTTAATTAGAAACCATTTTCTCCCAGAGTGCTGGTGACATGCTTGTGACAGCCTATTATCTTCTATTGACTCCAAGTGCATGGTGACCAGGCGATGTGGTCAGACCCCAGGCATTCAAGGAAGTCCCATTTCTGGGACACAATAAAGGGAGTATGCAGGGCGCTAGGCTGCGCAGCCTCTTTTCAACCAATAAGCTGAGCAGGCCCAGGAATCCTGGAGGCAGAGGACCAAGAAAGAGATCAGAAATCTGTTACCACCCCATCTATGATGAAAAGGTCAACGTGGACCTTGGAATGTGCTATTCTGCTACCGTTTGGGCCCTTCCTGAATATCCCCCCCCCTCCAGACTTCCCATTGGGTCCACTTTCCCCATTCCATAAGCCCAACTGAAATGAACACCTTCTTGATCTTAGCATGTGACCCCCAGGCCCCTCATACCTCCAGCACTCTCTGCCTTTACCCAGCAGCCAGAGGAAAAACACCCACGGCTGATTCTGACTGACGGTGCCGTTGTAGAACAGAGTAAAACCGCTCCTTAGGGTTTCTAAGACTGTCCATCTTTATGGGAGAGACCACCTCACCTTTTTCTGCTGTGGAGCTATAGGTGGCCTTGAAGCACCCACCCTGCCATTAGCAGGCCCACACCTCACCCACAGCAGAATGTATCACTCAGAACTCGTCTTCTATTTGCTTAGGACAAAGACTAAAACACCCAACTTGGTCTCTTGGCACCTATCTTGCTACTTTCTAACCTTCCCTCCACCTCATTCCCTCAAGGTGATCATTTTGCTTCCGCGACGCAGGCATTTTCCTCAAGTCCTGGAAACCAAACGTACTCCCGTGTTAGGGTCTCTCCACTCCTCTCTCAACCTTCTTGCTAGCTCACACTCATCCTTCACCATCATTTCCTTTTGGGGCCTCGCTTTAGTTATTATCGCGTTCTCCCAAGGAACTAGGGCACCTTGGGGTCTGGCATTTATATGGGTGACTATTTGATGAACTCTCATTCCTAGGAGACCTACAAATTCCAGAGACACTCTGTCTCTTATTTTCCCTTGTAGTCCCAGATCCTACGCCTGTGTCTGGCAGTTGAGACAGATGAAGAAGCAGAGGCTTTGCCTGCCAGGATAGAAGCAAGGTGCACCATACAAGTGCCCAGACTTAACGGTCCCTGGGCTTCAGTTCCGAGTTTGCCATTAGTCAGCCTAGTGATCTTGGGTTAAGTGGAGAGGCCTGCCTTAAGCTTTCATCTTCTCAATAGTGAAATGGGCAGCGCAGAATCTCCACAAGGTGTGAAGATGACAGATAACACATGCAGTGGGCAGGTTCTCAATGAAGGGCAGGCATTATCAGTACTATTCCTATTATTATCCAACTTGGGTCAGAAAGCCATCTGGTGAGACCACCACTTTCCTTAGAAGCACGACAGAATTAGTACTCACACCCAAAAGGAAACAGATAGTAACATTTTTTATTAAATATTACAGTGGATCAAAAAGTACAAAATATCTCTTGCCTGCTATGTGATTGGGAAACTATTGGCACGTAATACAGTATCAAAAGCAGTAATAAGTACAATTTGGAAAACATACAAAATCGAGTGTTTATAGTTGGCTCAGCATTCTTCTGGTAGTGTTTAAATGAATGCAAAGGTTACTCAATAACCTCTCCATTGGGAAATTATATAATATAACTGGGCCAGGCTGCTATGTACAAATAATCACCTTACAGAGCATAGAGGGTACATAGCTGGAGTCACCAAAAGTATACAATATTTACAACACAGGAAAGTTTTAAAAAGTATAAACAGCCAAGAGATTATGCTGCTATTCTTCAGACATATTTCAACCATGGGGAGACAAGCAGAATATCAAACACATCAACAGCCAACACCGGAGTTTAAGTGCTTAAGATAATCATTTCAGTGGTGTGGGTCTCGCCAGGGCGAAACCGTTCCCATTTCTCTTTAAAACGGGGACAAGAGTAAAACTGGACCAGATGGGACTTGGCTGACCACCACCACATGTGACTCTGTGGAACAACAAGTGAAGAGAAATAAATGGTTCTCTTTGAAGGCACACTACATAAAATATATATATATATATTTATATATATTTTGTGGGATCACCTTGAAATTTCCATCAGACATACCAACACAGTGAAATACAGTACTTGAGAATTCATGCACCAGGTCCGAAAGTTGTAAAGTCAACACTGAGTTTTAACAAACCCTTCTGTAATATGCCCTGATAAACGAGTGAACTAAAGAGCTTCTAGCTAGAAAATAAATTAAATCAGTCCTGTGGCAAATATTACGAGTTCGAATCGCTTCCGAGGAGAACGCTTCCTTCTGACCTCAGCTGGTTGGGCTCTGTTTTATGTTGCCAAAAGCTAAACCAGAAGCTGCATGGAAAGTTTTTTTTAAAAAAAAATACTATTTAAAATCTCCAAACCTCAATAAATCAAGTACTTAGTGCATTTTGAATTTCAACATTTCTTGGAAGTCACACTCAGTAAATATATTTATGACTCCACTGCCAATTAGATTCCACAGCTTCCTTTACAAAACTACCAATAACAATGGTTAGATTGCACAAAGAAAGGCTTGTGCAATTCCATCCAACAATAAGGCCCCTTGAACTCAAACAATGCAAACAAAGCCCTATTTAAGACTTAAAATAAAATCATATAAAATAAAAAAGTAGCTCTCAGCCAATGAAGAGTGGTCTTTTTGAAAGATTTCCAAGATGTCTGTTCAGAGTTTTAAAACAAACACCACACGGCTTCTGTTGGGAAAGTATATACCCTCGCTTCCCTGTATTTGTTGCCCTGTTTTTGCTGAGGGTACGAGCTTCCCCAGGCAGAAGCGATGAGAGAAACCCAAGCTAGACCATGTTCCCATTGTTTGAAGATGGTGTGGGCCGACTCCAATGTGATGAAACCACACTGAAATCACTGCAGGGGGGGAAACGCAGCCCCCCACCCCCTCCTCTTCCCAAGGAACAGGTGAGTTCCAACAGGGCCAGCCTCCCTTGTCTTTGAGAAACGAACTCCTGCAAGCCAGATACAACCTAGCCCAGGTCTTCTGCAGAAACACCTAAGTCTCTTTGTTCTTCCAATTCTGGGACCATTCGATTTAGTGCAACTCTTCCATGTGTCCTGGCCAGCACTTGCTAGCTGGAATTGAGATTTTTCGTTTTCTCCCTCTAGCGTGTGCAATCGCAGGATAATCCGCACTCACACATTTATAACCTAAAGCCTACGAGTCTATCTATGGTTCTATTAAATATATCTATCTCTATATATTATTCCACAGGAAGGTAAATAATTAATTGAAGCAAATGGAACTCTTAACACTGGATCTCTACATTCTTTTGTTTCCACCTTTGGGTATTGAGTATGTTACATCGGATATTTGGCTTCATATCATGGAGACATTTCAATACAAATGGATGGCATGCAGGGCTTTGTTTAAGAAGCTCGGTTTCACTGTTAGTTTTCAGTATTTTGCAGTTATCTATTTCAATGGGGAAAACTGTCACCAATTTTCATAGCATTCATTATCTCAGAGGTAAAAGACTTGGTTAGCTATGGTCCTATTGTCTATAGGTAGTGTTGAGGGAGGGCACGGATGGAAGGACTGCGAATGTAGTCAAACGCAGTCGTCGGCAGAGATGGAACCTGGAAACAAAATCCCCTCTCTCTCTTGATCGAGTCTATTAACACTTAGAAAATGGATCCACCTGGATGGGACATCTCGGCGGCACATGGGATAAAGTGGCAAGCATGGCAGTACATGTTCTGCACACCCTTTGACCGCATGGATGGCTTGACCATTTATTCTCAACAATAAAAGAAATCAGAAAGTAGACTGCCTTGTCAGGCAAAGAAAGAAAGAAAGAAAGCCAAAGAAACAAGCCACCTTATGTGAATGTACACACACAAACTTCACGGCCCACAAAACCAAAGATGACAAACTGTTTTTGAAATGGGTACTCCAGTAAGCCAATTATCCCCAAAGATGTGACCTGCGAGGAGGTTCCTTCTTGGGAATAAAGCCAATCGATGAAGGCAAGGTTGCCCGTACCTTTGACTTCAAAGACCCCGGTCTCGGGGAAAGTATCTGGTGTTCAGGCCTCCAGAGAATTCAGCTTCGCCCTGTTCTCCCAACCCCCTTCCCCTGACCATTGAAAGGGATCAGTGCCAAAGCCAATGTAAATCATTTTGGCTCCTTTTTTAATTTCTGAAATTCCTAAAATATCTGTGCAGCCCACAAATATGTCCTCTAGACTCTTGCTATTCAGCAACTAGCTGCCAATGAGGTTTTTGTTTTTATGGTTCCTCTGGTATGTGGGGCAGTTTCACAGCCTAGATAAGGTGAGTACAATGCTCAATATTTTCACATCACCCGATACTTCAAAGCAAAGCATGTGGCCGCATAAGCAGCATATAAGCTCTTTCAACCCTGCCATCTCGGTGGAACAAAATCCTTAGTCGCACATCTGCAGAGGGACGCTCTTTGCGCTGGGGGTGCTCGAGAGATTTGTTTCCAATTGTTCCACTAGAATCAGTTGCTTCAATTTGTAAACAATAACTTTTACCACCCAAAGCTGCTCAAAATGATAAGATGTGGAAAAACGATAAACACACATCAGCAACGAGGACAGTCAGTCAGCCTTTAAAATAAAACAAAACCCCAAACAAAAAAGACCTGCACACAAAAGCGATACTGTTTAATTAAAAACAAAACAAAACAAGGGAACTGGGTGAAAATGAAACCACCTGTGTATAAATTAGGTAAGCAAACAGTGATACGGGTAGTTTTTTTGTTTGTTTTTCATTTTTCAAGAAGCAAATATATACAGTCAATTTAACAGTGTTTTACTTCTCTGGATTGTGTAATAGTGTCAACAGGAAAGGTCTATTGAAGTTTCACTATACATTGCATTGCTGGAACCTTGGAGAGTTTGAAGAAAAGAGGGGCATCCCTTGGCATACGCTTGCCAGCCTCCTTGCCCCTTCCTTTGAAATGCCTGCCCTCTCTTTCACCCCCACCTCCCCAGATTGCTGTCTGGCCATTTGCTGGGGTCCTGTAAGTTCTTTCTGTGGACCCATAAGTCCCTTCTCAGAACCCACTTGCAATTTTGAAATGGCCCGGGAGTGCAGGAAGCTCCATGTTGGAAAGGGGTCAAGACTGGCCATCCGAGGCAGGAGTCACCCCAGAAAAACCAAGCATGGTCGCCTCACCTCTTGGCCCCTTTGGCTGGGACTGCTCTCGCCCACAGATTAGAAGGAATACTGACTTCTAATTCCATACGGCATCCTCCCAGGGTAAGCGCGTGACACTCGGTCGGCCACGCCAGTTGGGAACACAGGCCAGGGCCGGGGCTCACAGTTTTGTACTGGGGTGGACAGAGGACAGCTGGGAAGCTGGGAAGGCAGCTTGAGGATTGATAGCAGCTAAGGGGTAAATGCTGTTGTGCAAAAGGTCACCATACGAACTTCCTACAGGGGTGGTGGCGGCCAAGTGCCGGTACAGCTGTTGGGAATTGGTCGGCGACGTGAAGATCCCTCTTTGCATCACCAGCGAGTGGAAAGCCAGGGGCTGCATGAGCGGGGAAAGCACACTCTGGTTTTTCAAGTACTGCAGAGAGTGAGAGTAGCCAGCTGGGAGCCTGGAGTTGAGGCCCGAGTTACACAGGCTCCCGGAATACAAACCGGGGAAGATAGGGGAGGAGAGGGGAAGCTTGTGGCCTTCCACCCCACCCCCAGAATGCCCACCGTGCACCGCCTTGCCACCGTCGCTCTCCTGCTCAGAGGCCTGCTCCTTCCCAGAGCCCTCCTTGGAGGTGTCCAGGGGAGAGACCGCCCTGGCCTTTTTCCCGGCGATCACGAGGTCCAAGTCCTCCAGGCTGCGCTTTATAGGACGGGCCGAGCCAACGTTCTGGGGGCTCATTTTCCGGTGCAGGATGGGGTGGACCATGCCTTCCATCTTCCTGAAATTCTCCAGTCTCATATGGTGCGGCTTTCTTGCTCTCGAAAGTGACTCGGGGTATTTTTTAGGGGCCGCCGACAAGGTCATGGGCGAGACCCGGCAGGCTTTGGGGTGACAGTCTCGGCTCTGGCTGCTTATGACCTGGAACTGGGAGATGCCTTTGCCCTCCTGAGGCCCTGCGGCTGAGTGGGCCAGGCCCAAGACCTTGCCCGTTGGTTTGTGCGGGTTCTTGGGAAGGCTCAGATCTGTTGGCTGATCATCCGTGGGAGGGCCTTCCGCTGTGGCCGGCTTTTTGTCTTGCAGATGCAGAGATGTGAGATAATTGACATGCAGCTTTTCTGGGTGTTTGTGGGGAGGGAACACGCTGTTTTCCGATTCCCTGTACATGTCCCTGGCAGGGTATTTGGATGTCTGTTCATTGTGAAGGTGATGTTCGGTGTGTCTGTAGAGGCTGTGGAGATGTGGAGACGAGTAGAAGTCGGCCAGGAAGCTGGGCATGTGGGAATAGGGGAGAGCCCTTTTCTCTGATACTTTATCCTTGCCCTCTTGCATCTCTTGCTTCAGGACGTAGGAGTCAGCGAGGGGGCTCAGGTGATGCTTGGAGAAGCCGCAGCGGGGGCCGTCCGATCGACTCAGTTTGTCATGCTTAAAAATGTCATTGATGGTCTTCCTTTCCTCAGAGGCCTTGCTTTTGAAACTCTGGACGTGCTGGATCACGGAGGGCCGGTTGACTGCCAGGTGGTCAGTGTTGTGGCTATGGTGAGCCTGTGACAAGCCCGAACATAGGTCATCCCTGGCGATCAGCTTCTTCTTACTGATCAGAGGCGGGGGAGAGCCATACGGGTAGTTGCTGGAGAGGCTGGCCCCACTCACTTGGGACAGAAGTTTCTTCTTGGCCAATGGGGACATGATGCCTGGGTTGCCCCTTGAGTAGAGCAGGGGAGTGTAATTGAGTCCATGGTTCTCATTCATGGGCCCGGTCAGGTCTTTGTCCTTAAACATGTCAAAAGACTGGACCACCAGGACTTTTGGTGTCTGCTTGAGTGCGTTGTGGATGTCGTCGGTGCCTAGCTGGTCCACCTTTACGGTGCAGTTGGCGATGTAGTCTGCCATCGCTGGTAATTTGCCCTCTTCCATCTCATGTGCGTTGGCCGAGGGTGGCTGTGCTGTTGGGAAGCTGGTTGCTTCTTGGAGTTCGTTGTCAGGGCTCTCTGTGAAACGGCAAGGTTTGGGCTCTTGTTTTGAGTCTACTTGGGCACTGGCGGAGGTGAGTGACGGTTTGCCAGCTGCTGGGAGAACAGCTGGGTCCCTTTCTGGGGCCAGAGGTACACTTGGGAGCAAAGGTGCAGGGCCCTTCTCTGGCCCCTCCTCTGCCGCCTGCTCACTGCTGGAAACTTGGTCTGTTTCATTGTCCTTCTCTGGGTGTGATCTGGACGTTGGGGGCCTTGATGCCGAATCCTGGTGCACTTCCGCTTTCTTCTTCTTATCTGTCGTGGGGAGCGGCTCTGTGACACTTTTCTGGTTTAAAGTCTCTGGTTCCTTCTCGTGCTCGGATGACACCTGATGAAATATTTCAAAAGACAGTCAGAAGGAAGGCAAAGACATTGACGCTTATTTTTATTTTTTTGCTGTGCAATAGAATATTACACACAAGTTTTGGGGGGCTTTCTTTTCTTTTTTTCATGAAGAGATGCTTGTCAATCAGCTCACAGGGTTTCTGTAGAGCGTTATTACTCTCCAATCAAAGCTCTAAACAAAGAAATTTAAATTACAGAAACATTAGGGGAAATACGCGCATTTGTTTTAGTCCCTTATGAGACACCTATCAAAATAGCAGAGTGCTATGTACTGATGGTATATAATCATATCGCTCCTTGATTCTAATATATAGCTTAATTCTGAGGTTGTCAAATCAGACAATTATCCAAATAGGTTTTAAATTAGATGTTGTCTTGTATGATACTCCAGAGAAAGATTTTTTTTAAAGCGTCTCTCTTTTCAAAAATTTCACCAACTCCATGTAAACAACAAACAACTTACTTTAACTCCTGGCCTTTCTTTCAGAGAGCAGAACCCTTCCTAAGGTGCTCAGTACAACGTACTGATGGTTAGTGATGCTGAGTGTTACTAGTAATCTTTATCTAGGGCCACAGCACATACTGATGATGCCAAATGTGGAACAATTAGGCAGACAAAACAGCAGCCGACCCACCCGAGAGAGGACACTCCAAATTGTTCTAGGCCGTGGCAACCAACATGTCGATTAGTGCTCACAAAGTTGTCCAAACTCAAGCAATGCGTAGCATCAACATTATAAATACAGCTTTTCTGTTCACTGAAATAAATTACAGCCAGCAAAATAGCGTTCTTTATGCATCTCTGTGGACGGAAGTTGTGGGCACAATTCGACCCATTCATCATATTATGTAGCCAAGTGAACTCTGATCTTCGATGCTTATTCTAACTTTCCATTTGTGACACAGCTGAGTAAAAGCCCTTTCAAAACTGCTGTCATTCCGCCCTGACGTATCACAGTGGAAGGCAAACACAATGCAGTTGTACTGAGCTGGCTTTTGGGGAGGGGCGGGGGCGTGTATCCCATCTCATCCGTTCTTCTCTGTTCAGACAAGAAGTCTCAATCGCATTAGTTTCTTGGGGCAAGACTGAAGATTGTGGTACAGGGATGCTTAAGGACAAAGGATTGAAGGAATCATCCCTATTTTATAGATGCTTCTCTCCAAATCTACTTAAAGACATCTTTATTTATTTATTATTCCTAAGACACTTTGTTTACTGTCTTTTTTTTTGGGGGGGGGGTGTCCGGTGGTTACTAAGAGTTACAGTTTCTAGTACAAGCATCATTACTTGTTCTACATTAATAACCATCATTGGTCCCTTGAACTTATACATCACTACCTAAAAATACAGAAAAAAATTGAGAAAGGCAAGGGGGAAAGGCAAATTGCAACTAATTGGCTAGTTTTTGCTGGGATTGTCATTTAATGTGGAGCTACAGGAGATTTACAACCCCAATGAGGTTCTGTATTTCGTTACAAGGAGTCCTGTAGTTCTTCTTCTCACTGTGTAGAGGTGACCTTTGAAGTCAGGCAGAAAAACCCCAAACAGTAAGGGATCCTTTTCTCTTGGATGGCATGTTATGATCGGCCTCAGTATTTTCAGTGATCCCTTCTTGAATCTGAGTTGCCTAAAGATAGTGGATTCACTAGAATGGCTTTAAGCCCTCTTGTCTCCATTGAGTTCACTGCTTTGAGTTGAGATCACCGAAAATGAAAAACAATGGAAATATCAGTGAAAACAATGAAATCTAAGCACACACACACATGCACAAGATAATAAATGAGAAGAACTATACTCAATCCATAATATGGGTCTATGTTTAAGGTAGAGAGTCATTCTTATTATCAATGCCATCCTTGGAGAGAGTGTAAGATTCCCACCTAGTTCAGATAACCTGATTATGACAACCTTTTGAGGCAAGAGACACTGATACCTCCCTGAAGGGAACTGTTTGGTCTTTAGGGATTTCTGTCAATAGACTGCTAAGGTGTTTTTAATAAATTCCCCACCAGTGACTTGTTATAGTTAACCCTAGGTTTATTTTGGGGTGCCTTTTAAAGTGAGCTCACTTCTTCCCACCAGGTACCATTCTGGGGAAAGGCAATCTCCCAAGTTGATAGGCTCAGTGTATGCACAGACCAGGAGTTCTCCCACAGCTCAGAAACCCACTGTTTCAAACCTCATCCTCAAAGCAGAGCTACTCAAAGGTCAGCAGCCTCCTCGGTCCTCAGCTTGACCTTTGGTACTTTACCAGCACTGTACAAATGGAATCTAATAGGACGCACTGATCAGAAATCTCTAATAAATCATCAGGCCCACAGGATAAAGGAAGACTGGAATGCAGGCCTTAACTTGGAATTTCCTTGCTTTGGGCCATTTATGTAGTACGATTTCAGATGTTGAGAAATCTCTGTATCATTGCCCTACCCCATTTAATTTCTAGTGCTTAAAATAATCAAGCCCCTCCCAAAATAAAACAAAACAAAACAAAACAAGAAAAACCCCAACACTAAAACAACAAAGAAAACCCTCCAAACCAAACAAAAACTAACAAAACTCTCTTCTTGGTATTAAAACTATCTCTTCCATTGGAGTCAGTTGGGCAGGTTAATTTCTAGTTAGGGAGGGTGGTGTGTATTGTGTGTGTGCTTTCAGCCAGTGTTTAATTAGGGAGTCTCTTATGTGTTCATTATGAACCTGATTTTTTAGGGGATGTTTAATATAAGGACCAAAATTCCCTCTGGGATTGAATCCTAGAACATGCTGTCTCCAAATGTGGCTGCTGAGTTTTATTACGGGCAGCAGGGTTTTCTTTTTTTATTATTATTCATGCTGAAACAGAGCCCAGATCAGCCTCTATGGCTACGTCCACACTGACAGTAATGGCTTCTATCAAAGGGGCTGCGGGGAACTGGGGCTTGTTTTAAAAGGTTCAGAAACTAAATACCTGTTAATGTGAGAGATAATAATGGTTTCTGAGGACCCATTTCAAAATTTCCCTATAAATAATATGTACTTAAGATGTTTCTAAATAGCTCTCAACTCAGGGCTGTTGTGTCGAGGTCAACTACAGGGGACAGCCTCTGAAGTAGGTGAGGCAGTCCTGCAGAGAGTCATGGGACCTCGATTTCTATGTTCCCCTCGCTTCCCAGACACCCAAAGGCATTTAGTTACCCCAACTCCTCCGACCCACTAGCTCTAAGATGGCCGGGCGGCCATCCCCGGCAGAGACGGTTTCAGTGGGATGAGCTCTGCCTTCTTCTAGAGTTGGTGTCAGTTTTTGACAGACCTATGGCCTCCTCTGGCTTCCATGCTTGGCCTGTCCCAGACCCATGCTCTGTATTCCATTTTGGCCCCTGAGCAAACTCAGAGCGGGGAAATTGTCAAGTTGAGATGATTTGTTTTCTTATTCTAGCCATCTGCTTTGTGGGGATACAGCCATGAGGCAGGACACATCCCCCCAGAGAGCTTTCTCTGGAGGAGGGCAACTCACCTCTGATGCGTCCTGGGGCTTCGGGGTATTCTCTTTCTCTTTCTTGCTCTTGGGGTTTTCTTGTTTGATGCGCTTGGTTCCTGATACCTTGGCTTTATTCTCATTCTCCTGTGAACTGTTCTCCTGTTTCCGAGGTTTGACCGGAGGCAGGGGCTTATCTTCCTCTCCTTTAATAAACCTTTCATATGGGAGGATTAATCTAAAAGGATCACAGGATAAATGGTTGATCAGTTGAGGTCATTCCAGTAGCACTGCGGTGAAGGGGGGTTGCTTTCTTTTCTCGACCCAACCAACTCATCGAACGACTCCACCTGCAACCCCATGGTTGCGGTGCTCGACGCCAAGGCCAGGGTTGACCAGTCAACTTCCATGATGAAATCAGTAGCTGGTGAACTGACCTCCTCCTCTAAAGGACTTGCTTTGGGGTTGGTGAGCCTACAGACCAAGGAATGGTACCAATGGGAGTATACAAGGCTAATAGCATCGTGCTCACTGCCCACGGCGCCTGGCTCATGGCCAACAATGACATTGCCACAATATCGATTGTTGTTCTTAGTTGCTTGACAGTGATTCTGACTCCTGGGGACCCCAGGGCGGAGAGTCGAACTGGCTCCTGAGGGGTTTCATGGTGGTGACTTTTCAGCTACAGAGCACCATGCTTTTCTTTGGCGAGGTCTGAGTGGGTTAAACCCGCCAACCTTTTAGTTAGTTCTTAGCTATTTGTGCAACTCAAGGACTCGTAACAACAAACAAACAAACAAAAAGAACCACCCCAAACTCACTGCCATCACATTGCTACCAACTCACAACAAGTCTATAGGACAGGATGGAACGGACACGTGCGTTTTGAGACTGAAACTGTTCAAGGGCATAGAAAGCCTAGACGTCCACTCAAGGAATGGCTGGTTGTTTCGAACTGCTGACCTTTTGGATGACAGCCCGACTTGTAAGCCCTGCATTACCAGGGTTCCCTCCTCATAGCAATGTCTGCCATTTATTTACCAGTCCCTCAACAACTACTTACTGAGCACCTACTATGTGCCAGGCAGTTTTTGGTAGGCCCCTAGATACAGCAGTAAAGAAAACAAGCAAAGTCCTTGGCCACATGAAGCTTATATTTAAGTAGGTACTAGTAAGCGTCCCATATGCAAAATATCCCATAGAACCCCCATACCATTCTTATGAGGTTTTCCCCCTCTAAATAGGTAAGGCAAACAAGATCCAAAAAAGATGAAATAATATGCTTAAGAGCCCTCAGTTTTGTTCAAGGTGAAAATTGAACCTCGCGTGTCCACAAAGTCCGTATTTTCATTGACGTCAAAGTGTAAACCAGACACAGATGCGAGGCTCTGTGAGAGACAAGAGCAGTGGGACTGAGGGAAATGTCTTATCGCGCTCCTCCAGGAGCTGGGGGTCCAGGACGAAGGGTCTCCTCGGGGTAACAGGGAAAGACAAAGGCACGGAGCCTCAGTGAGAAGAAAGGGGGACGGACCGCCCCAGCCCTGAGAAGCGGAGGGCTGAAAATCGTAATTATATAAAATTGCTTTAAAAAGAGGTACATCAAACGGCTCTAGTTTTAATCTGTTTTCCCTTTGCGCCGTAGCTCTTGATCTGAAAGGGAAAAAGAGCTGATGTAATTAAAAGGGATGGATTGCATTACAATCTCAGTTTCAACTTCAGTGATTAAAGTTTTTATAATGCATTTGCTATGATTAATGACTCACTGTGGGATTAATACAAGACGCAGCCTTAAAAAATATGAACTTTCATACAGCAAACATAATTTGTTTTAAATAAGACGAGTTGACTCAATGAAGAAAATGTACTTGGCTTATAAACAACATAAATCTGTTCAAATATTGGGACTCCTAATTATTTTTATAAACAAAGACTCCCAGGCAAAAAAATACAACAAAACAAAATAAAAATTCTTTTGGTTTGGGTATTTGTTAGCTATCCTCAAATTGGTTTCTAACGATGCAATTTGGATCGCAACTACTTAAACATGCCCACTGCTCAAGTCTAGGGGTGCACACGTGGGGATGTGTGTGATCACAATATTTCCCTCTTCAATAAAATGCCACGTAAATGATGGGAAAATAAAATCCCAATTTTAGCATATTAGAAACAAAATTCATTTACAGAGCATGCTCAGACAAGGTAGTGCAAGGAGGCGTGAATAATGCTTTTGAGCCCCAAATCTGGCAGTGGGCCAGCCACGAAGATCAACACAGCCCATGGGGAAGAGTTATCTTCAGATCCCATTACAAACTGAGTTTAAACATGTTACAGCTGCTAAAACTGGAAACTGTTCTCTCTATGTAGACATACTAAAATAATATATGCTTGCCAAATACCTGCTTCCCACTGTAATATTACAGTTAATATTTATATAATAAAGAGTATCAGCAGAAGAGAGGAAAAGCAATCTTGTTCATACTCGAATGTGTTCTTCTTCATCTGTAAAGTCCCCAACATCCCCCCACCCCCAATTCCTTTTATCTGCTGGATTCTGCCAGGGACTTTATCCCCTTCAACATCAAGCAGACTGGGCTTATTTTATTTTATTTTATTGTCCAGGGGCAGAATGCATTCAAAATTTTAAACTGGAGAAAATATTTTAAATTGACTTTAATGAAAACATATTCTTATTGGGGGTAATTGTTGGGACAGATAGGCTTGTTTTACTTCTGTTTGGTTGCCATGGGAACCCAAGGAGCATTGAAGCCTGGATATTCCAATGATCACCATTTGTTGTGGCCACAGCACCCCCCCTCTCCCCCCCCCTCCATTTCATTCTCGGATCGAGGTGGTAACCCCAGGGATGACAGCGTTGTTTCTGCATGTGGGGGGACCAGGATAGGAAGCAGAGAGTCGGCCCCAGCAGACTCCTGCCTCTGGATTCTGTTGGTTCTGTGACTACCCCATTTTCTAGATAGATTTCCATTTTCTCTAACAAGTTCACAAGGCAGGCTAATTTCTCGTTCTAGTTCTTCTTCTTCTCCCCATTCCCCTTTTCTTATCCCCGACCCCCCTTCTTCTTCACTCAACTCAGCAGCTGGCCGGCCGCAGCAGTAAAAAGTACATTCCACTTTGCTGGTCAAAGGCCTAAAGCCAGAAGCAGGAAATCTGGAATTAAATGTTTCTTATATCTGGAAAGAGGCATGACTAAGGTAAAACTGAATCCAAACACAAATGCTGCTTGTCCAGAGCCGTGTGCATGTATTTGCGTGAGTGTGTGTGTGTGTGTGTGTGTGTGTGTGTGAGAGAGAGAGAGAGAGAGAGAGAGAGATTCGGGATGAGTGAGGGTTTGTGTATGTGTGAGGGTATGTGTGAATGGATTTGAGTGAATGTGTCAGAGTGTAAGGAAAAGGCATTTTTCCCTTCTTTTAAATCATTGAAAGATAATTATAATGGCCCAGAGTTTTTAAAAAGATAGATAAATGAACGAATAAATAAATAAAGACTCCCCCAAATGAAAGGAGACCAGCGGCAGATAAAAGGAAGCAAGTAGAAACAAGGACAAGTGACGAGGAACAGGGCAGTTCTCTCATGGCGCGCACACAACCACTGCTTCCTGCAGCGGTCTTCTTGGGGCGCAAGTGGAGATTTTTCTGGTAGCTTGTTAGGGTACAACATCATCACCCGACAGGCTAGGACCTTACTACTGCAGTATTACAAGTTTTCACAGGCCGAGAATCACAGGGCATGATTATAGGTTTCGGGGCATTTAAACACTCAGCGTCCATGTGGTCCACTGAACCCGGTGAGCCACTACAGGGTCAGCATTGCCCAATGATAAGGAATTTAATATCATGAAACATGACTGTGCCTTGCTGATGGTTATTCCTCAAGTATTTGTAGGACAACAAAGATGTAATCCGTTTCCGAACTGTACAGATAAAAGCAAAAATGTACCCCCATCCCCTCAGAACTCATTACACTGAAGAAATATTTTCAGTGGTCTCTAGCTCTAAAAATGAGGGCTGGGTTTTAGGTGGGTGGAAGAAATGGGGAAGGAAAGCAATATATTCATTAGAAAATCCAGAGAGATTTGCCCTCCCCACCCCCTGCCCCCTGTTTTCCTTGATCTACATCTAGTCTGGGGATTGAAAGCTGGGCCAATAAATAGGTCTTTATTATTATTCTGATTTCACATTTCAGATTAGCAAAATGCTTATTTACGATGCCATTAATGCCTCTGAAATAGGTAAGGCATCAAGTATTAAAAAATAACATCTTTCCATTGGCATAAGATTTGTAGCAGCATGAGATTTTATTTTTCCCTAGGAATAATACAAGAATAACATTTTCCACCCCAAAGCAGAAACAGTAGGGGAGCCTTTTGCTATCATGGAGATTCTTATTAAATTCAGTCACTGTGAAAAGCTAGGTTTTTTCCCCCCTCCACTCTCCTTTCTTTCTTTCTTTTTTAAATAAAGATGACTTAAAATCAACCCAAGTTAAAATTAACAAATCAATGGCATTATAGCCTTGATTTATTAGTACCCAAGTCACTAAATTATCATCATATACAAACTCAGTCGTTTGGAAAGATTTTGGCTTTACTACATCTCCAGTTAAATAACAGTGCTCGGTGTACTAGGTTTTGTGATCTGTGTCAGCTGACATTATGAAAAATTCAATACATTTCCCCACAGCAGAGGTCAGGGGTCAGCAAAACTATTACTGTAATGTAAGTAATCTGGTAACCTGCCAACTCTTTCTCCTATTTATTATTATTTTTTTAAACACCATGGCAGATAATTTTATATTTACAAATTCTGCAATTCTCCAGGGCCCTGCTTCTCTTTCTCCACAGAAAGCAGCAGTGTCCTGTAAGGAAATGTATAGCGCACATGTCCTTATCATTAGCATTTCATATAAAAGAAAAAGAGATGCTTCATCTTTATGAGGAGACACTCCTCTTCCATCCCCAAAGCAGAGAAAAAATCATGTCAAATCTCATCGGAACGAGTAACCGCTACTGTCTCCTGCACTGATTAATGCTTGCATGGAGCGACTGAAGTTTTGGGCCCAAACATTTAGCAGACAGTGCCCATGAGGAGATGAGGCTCTATCTGTGTACAGGAGTCTGGGAAATGATATCATAATAGTGTCTGGAATGGAGTCAGTCCAGAAAGCGGAGGGGGAATGGGAAATCTGTGGGACTGTATTTGAACCCCACCGTCAAAGATC